TGGCATTGCACAGCCCTATTTCTACTCGTCAGTCCTCCAAAGCACCACTGGAACCCCTTATAGTGTAAATACCAATTTCCTCAAAGTCAGAGCAGAAGCACATCCCTGATCCTCCTTCAAGGCAATGAACAGACCTCCCGGGCCCTAATACTGCAGTGTAGCGGAGGGTCGGAAGTATCTATGCTCCAAATGGCAGTAAGTCTGTTTTCTGACTGACATTTTAGGGCAAGGGTTGCCAAACTCTGGTCCTCCAGCTCTGGTGGAACTACAAATCCCATGAGGCATTGCAAGATTCTCACAGCCACAGGCAGGGCTCCCGGAGAGAGATGCATCATGGGATTTGTAGTTTCACCACAGCTGGAGGGCCGGAGTTTGGCTACCCCTGTTTTAGGGGGTTCATAAGGCAGTGAAGAGCTGGCTATTAAAAAGGAGAGATATGTACTATTCGCTGAAGAGACTTACATGAATGAAGGGGGAGGCCTGGAAGAAGAAAGTCCAACATGACTTATTAAGATGAGGATTGGGGAGATTTCTTTTCACTTCCTATTCTTCAGATACTATAGGAACGGAGAGGAAATCTCTTCCCAGTCTATGTTATGGGTCATGCATTGTCTTGTTGGATAACCATGACTGTATTTCCTCCCATTCTCTGCACTGCGGATCCAGCTGGTAGAAGCAGACTGGTCATAGAATGTATGCGAGTGATGCACAAGGCTGAGCTATAAGAACATGTACATAAACAAAATAGTACAAAAACGGCGTAAGCGCACTAACAGCTGAGGAAAAAAACCTTAAAGTGGGTACATATGAGAGGGGGATTCCAGTGTGCAAGCTCTGACGAAACAGGGAGAGGGGCCCTGTGACAAAACGGACAAAAATCACACAAAGAAAGAGCGCTACTACTGTGGAAAGAACTCACGTTTCAGTTGTCAGCATATCGCATGGGAGCTGGTCTAATGTTGTTGTAGTATTGGCAGTGTTGTCAGAAGGCCCTTCTGACAACACTCCCGATACTACAACAACATTAGACCAGCTCCCATACAGTAGAAGAACATGTACATGGATGACATGGGGCCCATTACACTCACCTTGTGCTATGAGTATTGGATACTCCAGGTAGGTTTCCATGGGGTATTCATAATACATTTGGTATCGTAGAAATACAAGAAATCTAGGAGGGAAGAAACAATTCTATTCAGATGTGTTATAATACAACTACTAATGAAACGCGTGCCTGGCTTTAAAGAATGAGAAGAAACACAGAGGCCACTGATGAGCGCTCCTTAAGATGCCGATCGCCGGGCATTATGATGGTCCTGTTATTCCAATACTTGGGACTCACTGACACAGACCAAGAGCACAAATAAGGACCGCGGACTTCTTACTAATCTGCATTCATGTGTAGGGCGGTTCACACCACCACAGCCTCTGGAACGCACGCCGGCCGGCACCCTGCCGTTCAGGGGAGGGATGGTCATGATGTCGCCCTGATGAGGGGACCCTGCGCGGCCTTGAATCGTGCGGCAGATCGCACTGGACCGCAACATAGGCACTAATGTGCCATGCGCTCGGGTGTCGGCAATCGCACTGCGGGCGTGCTTGCGTTGCCATTGATTTCCATGCAGCGCCACGCCCCTGAACTCAGGGAGCCGGCCGGCTTGCATTCCAGTGGGTTCCAAAGGCCGGACGCTCTGGAACGCAGACTTTGTGGTGTGACCCGGCCCTATCTTCTTTATTCTGTCCCCTACAAACAAAATTAGTAGTTAACCCCCGCTGGGGTAGCCCTGCAAGGGTTAACTTTTTGCATACCTGGATTTCTTTCATTCTCGCTGTTCTACCCGTCACCACCCATCTAAAACTACAACAAACGTTTACTTTAAATACGATTTATTTTGAAGTAGAACGTACAGAGATCTGATGATTTAGTATTGATGTGTATATAGCACAGAGCGCGCCAGTCCCTGCCCGCAAGGAGCTTACAATCTAAGGCCCCTATCTCACATACACACATACAGGGCTGATGTAGACAGGAGCCAATTAACTTCCAGCATGTCTTTGGAGTGTGATTGGAAACCGGAGTACCCAGAGGAAAACCACACAAGCACAGGGAGAACATGCAAACTCCATGCAGATAGTGTCCTGGCCAGGATTGGTACCAGAGACCACCCACCACGCCGCCGTGCTGCCCAATGATTGCCGCGTGTATTACAAGCTTATTGCCCCCCATTCACACAGCGTGATTCCGGCAATTTCAGCCGCTTCCCATCATCAACTCTCAATGGTGGAAACACACAGATGATGGAAAGCTATCAGGAAGTGCCGGTGGTGAGTTTCACTGATCAGTGACTGAAACTCTATAAAGTGTTGGGGATGGCCTGAAAGCCTCTCAGTGAACACAGACAACACACAGGGCGGCTGTAATCACACAAAAGGACCATAGAACAGGAAACCCATCAGCAGCCAATCACATTGTTTCCGGGTTTCTGCAGAAACTTTTGGTAGAAAGTTGTTTTGTTATCAAAATCAGAGAAATAGAAAGCGTGTCCTCGCAGTGGGACTCCCCAGCACAGCAAGGGTTAACTGCTCGTTATGGCTGGGGGGGGGTCATATTAAGCAGATATACTAAATATATGGTCCAGCTCCGCACCCCCGACTCTGTTCCCAATCACTTCGCCCCTAAAGCAGCCGTGCGAGAGAGCAAACACTCCCAAATATATCAATCGGTATCCGATGCCCGGCGCCAATAATCCATAATCAATACTTTATAATCACACACAGCACAAATACATACAAGATGACAGCTAGGGATACACAGATACCGGCTTCTCGATGTACCAATATTTATCTTTCGGTACTCGCTGATACCAAAACCGGTACTTCCACTAGCATGGATCTGGCTTCCCGGCCAATTAGGAAGCCCGGCGGCGGGTAATGACCCACCGACCGGCTTCCTGATTGGCTGGGAAGCTGCCTCCATGCTGTTTGGCAGGCTAGATGCTGACTGGACAGTAAGCTGGCTCTACGCTGTTTGGTCGGCTCGATGCTGATTGGCCGGGAAGCCAGCTCCATGCTGTTTGGCAGGCTAGATGCTGATTGGCCAGGAAGCCGGCTCCATGCTGTTTGGCCGGCTCGTTGCTGATTGGCCAGGAAGCCTGCTTCCCAGCCAATCAGCATCCAGCCGGCTTCCGAGCCAATCAGGAAGGCAGGTCATTTACCTGTCGCCTGGCTTCCTGATTGGCCAGCTCTACATTTCCTCGTGCCACTGCCAGTCAGAGGAAATCTCCTTCTGCCCAGAAGTTAGGGTATCAGAGCATTTGGGAGCGTACGAGTACTAGACCAAAAACTTGGTAACGGCACCAATACTAGTATCGGTATCGGTGCATCCCGAGTATCAAATGCTGATGAAATCACTTACAATGGCCGCTGCTTCTTGGTGTTTAAAAGTTTTAGTTTCCTGTAGAATCAGCTGGTCCCTTGAGCACTGGCCCTGACTTCCTGTGTTAGGGTGACTCCTTTCCCTTGCAGGGTCCTATGGAGTCATCTGTGTGTGTCTCCACTAACACACAAGCTCATTAAGGAAGCCTAGTGGCATGGGGTTAGCATTTCTTCCTTCACACCGATTGTACCCGGTTTGAAACCCAGCCAGGTCACTATCTGCAAGAAGATTGCGGGTTCTCCCTTGTCTGGGTTTCCTCCCACACTCCACAGACACGCTGGAAGGTAACTCCGCCCTGTATGTATGTATGTATGTATGTATGTATGTAATATAGGGACCTGAGACTGTAAGCTCCTGTGGGGCGGGAACTGGTGTGAATCTGGATTAATTACTGGAACAAATATGAAGAGTTTAGTACGAGCC